CGCTGTCACTCAGCCAGCGCTGTCTCTCTGTGTCCGCTGTCACTCAGCCTGCACTGTCACTCTGTGTCCGCTGTCCTTCTGTGTGACCCGACTCTGTCTCTCGGCTGCTGTCTCTAGTTCTGGCGTTTGCATGTGGAATGTTGGACAGCCAATCTGCAGCGGCTCACCTAGGCAACGAGAAAAACAGCTATCACGACATCTAGCCAGTCTAATATTAGAAGTTCATCAATCAGACAAATGTACTTGTAATTGTACACGATGGACGCACGCACGTACACACGCACGCACGCATGCACGCATCAACGTACGCACGCACGTACACACAGACACGCACGCACGGCACGCATGAACGCACACACGCACGCACGCACGCACGCGCACGCGCGCATGTACGTACACACACGCACGCACGTACACACACGCACGCGCGCGCACGTACACGCACGCACGCATGAACGCACGCACATACGTACACGCACGCACGCACGCACGCACACGGGCGCATGCACAGGCGCGCATGCACACATGAACGTACGGACACACGCACACACGCACGCACACACGCACGCACGCACGTACACGCAAGCACGCACGCATGAACGCACACGCACACGCACACGCGCGCATGCACGCATGGAGGTACGCACACACGTACACACGCCCGCACACACGCCCGCACCCACGCATAAACGCACGCACGCACGCACGCACGCATGAACGTACGCACGCACGCACGCATGAACGTACGCACGCACGCACGCACACATGAACGTACGCACGCACGCACGCATGAACGTACGCACGTACACACGCATNAAGGTACTGATCCATCACTAGTCTGCTGTAACTCAGACCAAGGCGCTGTCCTCCATTCCGACTGTCCTAAAACACCGTGTAACCGCATGTCACTAAAAAACCATGAATCGCACAAATGTCACAAAAAAAACAACAGCCAGCGTAGGAAAGCCTACCATAGAATCCAGACGATGTCACACATCAGAACCTGACACTGTCACTAAAAAAAAAAAAACAAAACATGTATCCGCTGATCGCTTCAAAGCTGTGTGAACCGACACTAGGTTCTCTCGGAAAAACTGCTGCTCTCTAAGTTCTGCGATTTGCAATGTGGAATGCTGGAGACAAAAGACGACAAAATCTAGACAGCGGCTCACACATAATGGCAACACAAGAGAAAAAAGAAACAAGGCTATAAAACGACATACAAAGAAGGCCATGAAAAAAAATAACGACTAATAATATAAAGAAAATTATACATCAAACACTACGCAACAAATAAAATAAAACTATAAGTACAACGATGAAAACGCAACGACACAAAGGTAACACACGCACGACACGCACAGCACAAGCATACAACAGTACACACGAAAAAAAACAAAAAAACAAAGCAAGACAACAATAACGCCACCCACACACCCACCACCACCAACAGTCACCACAACCAGACACGCCCAGCACCACCACACCAAAGCAACACACCCACTAACAACACGCACGCAGCAGCATGAACGCACACTAACGCACGCCAGCACGCACGCGCACGCCGCGCATGCACGTCACACACGACCACACCCGCACAGCACGTACAACACAATCAGCACTAAAAACAGCGCGTTCGACGAAAGTACACAAAAGATACGCACGCATAGAACGCAAACGCAACACATGAACAATAAACACGCGACGACACGTAGCACATAATAGCACAAGAACTAAAACGCAAGGCACGCAACCCGCACGAATTGCAACAACGCAACACTAATGAAGCTCTCCTATAAAAACATCAAACACCAAAAAAAAACGAAAAATTATAACACATGTCAAAACACCAAATTAACCACTCGCCAGGGTACACGCACGCTACATCACGCACAAAGCGTGCATGCACGCATGGAGGTACGCAACACACGCAACACGCGCCGCACCCACGCATAAACGCACGCACGCATGCACGCACGCACGCACGCACGCACGCAGCGCACGCACGCCACGCATGAACGTACGCATGCACGCACACGCACGACACTACTGAACGTACGCACGCACGCACCCATGAACGTACGCACGGTACACACGCAGATGAACGTACGCAACGCATGAACATACGCACGTACGCATCAACGTACGCACGCACGCACGTACGCAGAAACGCATACATGAATGTACTCACGCACGCCCGCATAAACGCACGCGCGCACGCACGCATGAACATACGCAGGTACGCACCATAAACGTACGCACGCACACATGAACGTGGCGCACGCAGACGCAGCGCATGAACGACCACGGCACGGGCATAAGAACGGTAGCGCACGCATGAACGAACGCACCGGCAGCGACACAGCATGAAACAATGAACGTACGCACGCACACATGGACGTAAGCACGTACGCATGAACGTACGCACGCACACATGGACGTAAGCACGTACGCATGAACGTACGCACGTACACACGCATGAACGTACGCACGCATGATCGTACGCACGCATGAACAAACGCACGTACGCATGAACGTACGCACGCACGCACGTACGCACGCACACATGAACGTACGCACGCACGCACGCATAAACGTACGCACGCACGCATGAACGTACGCACGCACGCATGAACGTACGTACGCACGCATGAACGCACGTACGCACGCACACATGGATGTACGCACGCACGCACGCACGCACACATGAACGTACGCGCGCACGCACGCATAAACGCACGCACGTACGCACGCATGAACGCACGCACACACGTATGAACGTACGCACGCACGCACGCATGAACGCACGCACACACGCATGAACGTACGCACGCACGCACGCATGAACATACGCACGTACGCATGGACGTACGCACGCACGCATGAACGTACGCACGCATGAACATACGCACGTACGCATGGACGTACGCACACACGCACGCACGCACGCATGAACGTACGCGCGCACGCACGCATGAACGTACGCACGTACGCACGCATGAACGTACGCACGCACACATGAACGTACGCACGCACACTGACAGATTAAAGACTGTTATTCGAGGAAGACCAGCGCTCCTAATTTAGCTCCTAATTAGATTAATGCTCTGTCCGCTCCATAAGCCGCATCTATGCTTCAGTGTCACGTTCGCCATCCCGGTGACACCTATATACCCGCACAGTCACAGACTAACCACCTACAGTGACAGCGCTAGTGACAAATTGACACCTATAAGGATATATTATCCATGTTGCAAGGTTTGGGGACAGGTACAGTTACCTGTTCGTAGATACTTCATGATGACAGGTATATTGATAGCTTACCTGTCTTTAGGTTTTTCATGGTGAAGAATCCGCGCATGCTGCCCTGCGTTGTGTTGATGGTTGTGCAGCTGATCCACCTGCAGCGCGTACCTGGTCTCATCACAGGATACTCACCTGTAATCAACAGTAACAGCCAGGTATACAATCATAGGTATACAATAGCAGGTATACAATCACAGATATACAATCTTAGGTATACAATAGCATGTATACAATCACAGGTATACAATCATAGGTATACAATAGCAGGTATACAATCACAGGTATACAATCATAGGTATACAATAGCATGTATACAATCACAGGTATACAATCATAGGTATACAATAGCAGGTATACAATCACAGGTATACAATCATAGGTATACAATAGCATGTATACAATCACAGGTATACAATCATAGGTATACAATAGCAGGTATACAATCACAGGTATACAATCATAGGTATACAATAGCATGTATACAATCACAGGTATACAATCATAGGTATACAATAGCAGGTATACAATCACAGGTGGTGGTGTGGTGGAGATGGTGATGGTGGTGGTGGTGGTGGTGGTGGTGATGGCGGTGGTGGTAGACTGGTAGGGGTGGTGGTGGTGGCGGTGGCGGTAGTTGT